TATCCAAACAGTCATCTCTAAGTTCTCCTATGATTTTTACTTTTACATTCTTACCTAACCCTTGTAGAAAAATACCTTCAATTTTCCACAATCTCTTACACAATTTTCCAAGTCAAAGGTATTGCATATATAGTTATAAGCTAACAAAAACTGCAGAATCTTCCCTATAACTACCCTGCGTGATGTTCCAACCTTAAACTTGCAATTATTAGACGATCCAACTGGCCAAATTTAATCGTTTATTATGATTTAAAAATTATTATAGCCTGGTCATTTTTGTGTATAGAAGATTTTTGTCTTAAAATGTTCCCATATCTGTTGTTTCATTATTTGTGTAAATTTATAACGTTATCTGTCCAACCGGATTTCCAATCTACTGCATTAGAAAATGCTTTGACATTAGCTGACTTTAGACAATCTATTAACTGAAGAGCTGAAATGTTATTGGATCAAATCGAACTAGTGCAGAGTTCGGCACTCGATACAATTTTCGGCCGATTTTCGAATCGGCTCCGTTTTCCGCTGTTCCCCTTACATCAACGTTCCTCGCGCAGTCAAAATGCCATAGGACGGTCGAGCGGCATTTGGACTGTGCGTGAGAAGTTGCATCGCGTGTCGAATCCTGGACTAGTGCAAACCGAGTGGACCGAAAACGCCATTATATTACTTAAAGATTAAAAATATAGGAAGAGCCACTTTACCTTACAAAGTTTTTTTAATTTATTGTGGTGGGCTGAAATTAACAAATAAAATTCTGTAAAACGAGCGATACAATGATACGCAGTTTCTTTTATTGTAAAAGATACTATTTTATTAAACAAAAGACAACAGATTTGGCGTGTTTACTTTTACAATTCAAATATTTTTATAGTCACCATCTTTTATTAGTTGCTGATCATTAAACGTATGTCAATTTTCGATAAAATGCAAGCGTGTAGCATCCAATTTTGACTTTCAGTACATTATGAAAAATTCTTTTTACTAAAATAACAATTGTAAGGTATCAAAGGATCTAAGCGTCGGGCTGTGTGGCTTTGCAGCAAAACGGTGGCTTGCTAGTACGAACTACTACACGAGGTCCTTCGGGTTCGAGTCCCCCGACATCGCGTCCGACTTATTTTTCTCGGCCCAGTTTACATAATGGTGTATTATTATTGCATAAACAAACGCGTATATTAAATATTTCCTTAATGTTTGAGGAAGTTGTGAAAATGTTAAATTATTAACATAATACGTTGTATATGCGACATAATGCAGATTATATTTTAGAAAAAGTATTGTTTGTATCTTCTTTTTATCATAATACGACAGTCGCTTTTATCTCAATTGCTTGTATTTCTATTTGACAAGTTCTTTCGGTTGGAAATATAGAGATGCTACTTGTCTGTATAACGCTTACGTAGTCCAGAATCGACAATAATGCTGCAGTCCGTTCAGTTGTCTACATTTGTTAAAAATTATAATTATGTAAAGAGAGCGTAATAAGGAATAATTAGTTTTCTAAAATGTTTTAAACACACATTATTGGTCTGTTTTTTGTTTCTGTACTAGACTAAACTAAAACTCTCTTTCTCGCTTTCGACAAATATTAAACATATACTTATCTCACTTTAAGTTCTAAAAGTATACACTAGTTTAGACAGAAGACAGACCTTTTATCTTATATATAATTATCATTTATTTCAAAGGCATCGTAAGCAAGAATTGTACAACCGAAACCCTTGCTCTAAAATAAAAATTGCGCTATTCTTTAAAAACATTTTTCAAAAAATGTTGATTTCAAAGAATGGAAAATAAGAACATTAAAATTGATAACAAGATATCTATTATACAAAAATGCAATGTGTCGGTAGAAGCTCTTTAAATATTCCACTATATTTTATTATTTTCAAGATGTAGTTTTATTTTTCAGAGATTTATATATATTTATAGAGCGTTTTATGAATTAGAGTAGAAATTGCAAAAATAGAAGTGCTTACGTTCCAATGAAATCCTTCTGCGTCAGCAAAAGAAGTGTAATATTTACTACAAGCTGTTTATCATATTTATCTACACATCATAATGACAAAACGATTTACCAGAATTTCCTTCGTTTTGGTGATAGATCCCTTGTCAATGGACTCGTCGGCACAATGCTTCTTATTCCACCAGATCCTGATGGAGCCTCATAGTTTCTCGAAGTACCTTCTCCAGGACAGATAACATGTGTACTTTCAGTTGAGTTATCATCTTTCGAAATGGTGTCCACGTTTTTCTTTTCTTCTTCATCATCATCTTCTCCTTCTTCTGGTGTTATTTGTGAGTATACTTCGAATAGTTCACTAAAAAAAAGATTGTCTATATTGTCTAAATTCGCATCGTTCGTTTTCATGAACAATGTATAATTCAATCAACATTAACGTGAGCATTGAAAAATAAATTAATGCATATGTTTAACTTAACAAAAGCTAAGTTAAATATGAGAGAGATTATGTTAAAAAGAAAACAGATTCCGTCAATTTTAATTTTTGAATGTAAAAGAGTTTATGTTTACCTTCAAAAAGTTTTTGATTGACTAAGGATAATTCCAAATTAAGTAGAGTAATATTTAAAAAAATTTTTAGTTTAAATAATAAATCGATTAATTAATGCATGGTTTGGATGAATCTAATTATTTTTTTTTTCTTTAAGAACTTAAATATTATATAATTAATTAAATAACGTCAACTATTTTTTATGTTTTTTTTTTCAACTAAAGCTCAGTTTCGTAACTCACGGTTAATTAATTCTTATATTCGATGTATATATTTATTCAATATATCTCTTTCCAATCGTAGACTGGGAAGTGAGAGTCGTAAAATATCTTTTGACAAATAAACCAAACGCGATTCAAAATCAAATAAATATTTTTTTCTTTAAAATTTTTAGACTAAATAAATTTTCGATCGATTTAAACATGATTTAAAAATAATATTTTTCTACATCTTATAAGTCTAAACTATGATATATTTGACATGTTACAAATATCACAGGTCGCAACAGCTACTTGCGTTAATTTCAATAATTTGATGCTATAACTTTCAGGTCTCATATATACGGGTCACTTGAATACGGTGGTTACGACGCTACGATACGATCAATATAAATTAAAGTGATGCTGTAAACATCTGTATTATTAATAAAGATATCGTCTTTCACGTTTTTGTCCCTGTCCAATTTCTTCGTAATAATTTCACAGAATAAAAATTCTCCTTCCATAATTAAAACATAGATGCTAATGTTCTTATCGCTGATATATTTTGTATCTAATACTGCAATAATAAAACAATTGCAGATTCTTCATGTATTTTGCATCAATATGACGACCAACGTTGTAGGTAAAAGTAAATATGAAATCAGTAATTTTTTATATTTTTAGCTTTGGACACAAAATACAGCGTACAATGCAATAATATACATTTTAATTTTAAAAAAAGTCCTTTTATACTATGAAATCGTTACAAACAAATTAAATAAAAATGAAAACGTCAATCGTACTAGTTTTGTTGGAAATACAGGCAGTTCCATCATCCTTTTAAACCTAAAGGACTGTTAATGTAGAATGAAGAAACTTAAGTTTCGACTACGAAAGTTTTGTTAACATATGTTTAATTAAATGTTTGATTAATATATATATAGAATCTCGATTTAATAACAGGCGTCTAAGATAGGCTTCCACTACAATGCCTTACTGATGAGTCCAGTAGTGGAAGTTGGGACGAAACGCCACAATTACGTGATATTCTTCGCAATTGTATATTAGATTAATTTAAAAGATTTTTAAACGAAATTATTGGCGTATTGCTCTTATCTCTTCATATTAGTTATAAAAAAATATCTTTTTCTCTTACCTTGGATGGTAAAGACGACACTATTAGTGCATTGCGACCGATAAAGAATCATTAGTCCAACCAATGATCTCTCTTATCGGTCGCAATGCACTAATAGTGTCTTCTTTTTATTGCTATCAGAGCATACCGCCGAGCGCTTTTATATACGATATAATTTTCCGACAATATTTCCGCACTTTTCGTATATCTTACATTTCATTGAAAACGTTTATCATCTGAGTGGTACATTATTATTACATGGTTTAATAAAGGTGATACGTTCCAATAGTTACATATAACTTGAACTTTACATCCACGACATTTTCCTATTATAAAAGACGATCCTGAAAGCCAAATACGAATATATTCTTGTATCTCTTCTCGTTTTGAATGTTCGGTTAAATCTGATATATTATGCTCTTCGTACAAATGACGCATAATTATTTGATAATCTCTATCCATGAACTTATCATCTGTATCTGACACGCAGCGTTCACAGTATTCTCAATATGTTATAAATGGGTTTTTATATTCTATATATGTACCTTACGTGGTACATTCACCACTTGTCATATCGTCACATCTGACTGCGCGAAATGTCAGCTCTGTGATAAGCGAAATTTAATTACGATTAACTTAAAAACAATTATAGCCTTGACATTTTTATATTAATATTTTTATCATAAAGTTATCTCAAAAATTCGTTTTTGGAAAGAATATAATAAGAATAACATGTACATATAATAAAATATGTATATTCTGATCTTATTCATTTTATCAAAAATATTCTGATGTGTCTTAAGCTAAAATGACGGAGAAGAACAATGTTTACTGGATGTTCGCGCATGACGTCACCAACAGGTGCACGCGCGCGGATTGGCTGCGACGCACGTGCTTCCCATTCCTTTCAGTAGATTCAGCCGTTTGGATTCGCGGACGCGCTTCGCGCGTTCAATCGCGCGGCTCGATTCAAACCACGCGCATGTACGGACGTGACGACACGAGGATGCGCATTAAATTGCGTAATCGATGCGTCAAAACGTCATCACGCTTACATAAACTGTGTCACGTTCATTGTCAGTCGTGTTCAATCGCGCTACAGTGCGTGTTATGTGGTATACTTCTGTGGTGGTATACTTCGCGCTCCAAGAATACGTCAGCACTGTAAATAGAAATGCTAGTCTGCGTTGAAAACGCTTCGTGAAGGGAATCGGGAAGGTGCCGCCGGCCGTCTTCGCGTTGCGCATCTCTGACATATATTACAGGTGTGTGCGATCGGAATATTTCAACATCGTCTCCATCGGAATCGAAATTAGATCGTTGGAGCGATCGCGAAAATGGCCAACTCTCCGGTACACAATCCAGTAAGTACCTGCTACGCTTTAATGGAACTTTCATTGATCCATTAAGTACCTGCATTGCCGCGGATGCCTTCTGCGTCTTATGTACGAGACATGAATTTACATATCTTATTTATTATTTCTTTGATGTTACTTTAACTGTAGTAATTATGAATTATTGATAATATATATTATTTGAAGTTGTCAGAATATATATTTACTTTGAACAGTTATTATATATATAAATATATATTATATTAATTTTTTAATTTAGAAAATAATAGATTTTGTTCAATTTAATGTAATATATTGAATCGTGAGTTTAGCTGAGTTGCTATTTTTAGAAAATTTGTCTTTTTTTTCACGTTTTCCATTTTTTTTTAACAATCATATTTTTTGTAACAGGAAATCCCATATGTGGGAAAAGTAGAAGGAGGTCTAAGGGCAGGTACAATGGTGAAAATACAAGGCAAAGTGCCACCTCAGGCTGTACGATTTGCTATCAATTATCAGCTCGGACCTACGTTAAATCCAAGAGATGACATAGCTATTCATGTATCTCCGCGCTTCCCTGAAGGCTTTATTACTAGAAACCACATAGAGTCGATGACCTGGGGCATGGAGGAGAATGCTGGCCCAATGTGCATTCAGCCAGGCCAGGAATTCGAGATATTGATTCTGTGTGACTATCACTGCTATAAGATTGCCATTAATGGCAGGCATTTTACGGAATTCGCTCATCGATTACCGTTCATAAAAGTCACTCATTTGGTTATCGATGGCGATGTCGAGATACAGTCTATTGCATATGAACAAGTATCAGTTGATTCGTCAAAATCCTCTACAGTACCAGACGATGTACAGACTGCTAATTTTGGACCACCACGTAAGGAATCGTATTTTTATTTTAATTACACTTAGCATAATATAAATTTTACAAATTACTGTTACAATTTACTTACTAAATATGATTTTTTGAAGATTATATATATATATATTTTTTGAATATATCAATCAGCATGTGTGTGTGTATGTGTGTGTACATACAACTAGTTTAGCTCCTTTTATTCTCATCATTTTTAATTTACTAAACCTTAGCACTATTTATATTTTTTATCTTAATAAAAGTATTGAAAACTGTACTTTTTATACTAGCTCCAGGTGGTTTGTATCCAACGATTCAACCTCCAGGTGGATATGGCCCTTCTCCTCCAACTGGTTATGGCCCTCCTCCTCCAGCTGGTTATGGTCCTCCTCCTCCAACTGCCTATGGTGGCCCTGATGGTTACAATCCACCAAGAGCTTATGGGTATCAACCAGATCGTGAAAAGGCAGAGGAAGAAGGTGTTTTTGGAGATTGTCTGGACAAAGTTGGATTAGCAATAGGTGGATTAGTGGCAGCTGGAGGCGTAGCGGCAGCCATGCATGCGATGAATGTAAAGATATATAAAATATTTAGATATTTTCATTATATATATATATATATATATATATATATA